GCCATGGCAACACCTTGGTCACTGCTGCTGCCACGGTAACAGATGGACAGGGGCCTGGAAATAACTTCATTCAGCCCCGCCCGGAGGGGTGAGGACCGTGGACCATGGACAATCCGCCCTCACCCTCTCCTCTCTGCCCCACATACGAGCACTGCACCCCCAGCTCTTCTGGGCCATATTCAAGCACTCGTCCCCTTGGACCGGGTCCCACAGCAGGGGCCTCCGAAATCAGGCCTGATAGAGTCATTACTGCACAGATCCCAGATTCACCCTGGCATGTACACGGACCATACATGAAAACAAGAATACACGTCGCTGTTGGCACATAAATGCATAAAAGACATCCCAAAGTCACCCGCATATCCCATTTCACACTGCTGGTATTTATGGTAAGGGGCGTAGGAGCACTAACATTGTGGCGCTGCTGTAATTATCTCCCTTCTTCTTTTATTAGCCCTATTGTTTTCTCACATCCTCAGATGAGAAAAGGCACAGGGAGAGAGTTGTAAAGACACAGAGTTGAGCAGTGGGGGATCTGTTTGCCAACTCAGAAACAAATGATGAGCTGAATAGCATCCCGAGTCGCTCAATAAGGTGCAGCCGGAAAATGAACTGCAACAGTTTTGGTGCTAATCAGTAACTAACCTCTAAACAAGATTGTGTGTGTTTTGTCCCCATCTTTGGGAAACACCTCTTGTACAGGCCCAATGAATAGATTAAAGGGGAACAGTGTAATTACTAAAGCTGAAAGGGGCCCACACTGCACTGAGAGGACGCACAGCCACTTGTGATGCTTTAGCACCATTGATGTTATTGTTTTAAGATAAATACTTTATTAAACCCCCTTAGGAGAATGTTTGGTTTGGTTTCCTGAAGACCTCAACAAACAAACAAACAACACTAGGACTGTAATTATCTGAAGAATTAGAATGGATGGAGCATCTATGAGATAAAGGCCAAAAGTGATATAATTAAGACGCCTTCCTAATAAAAGAAATATTAATAGATAACGTAAATTATATTTGGGAAAAATATCAAATTATGATTTTTCTGACAAGCATTATGATTAAGCTTGTGATTATGTTTTAATAAAAAGATTCTGTTAAAAATTCACATTGTAAACGTGGCCAAAAGGAAAAATAAAAAAATAAATTATAAACAGTATTAAGACACTACATTTACAACAAGAGTAAAAATCATCAAATATATATTTAGTATTATAAATCCCTCCAACTTTACATGCTTCTACATCCGACTTTCACTTGAGTTTTACACCCCCAAAGCTCTGTCCATCACCCCTCTCTCACCCCCTCCCTCCCTCTGCCTCTCACCCTCTTCATTGTACCAAAGGAGATTTTCTCCATTGATGCCCAGTCTCTTAGGTAACCCCACCGCTCCATGAAATGAGGAGAGGGAGAGGGCGAGAGACAATCAGTGAGTGAAGACAAGAGAGAGAGAGGGCGGGGCCACAGAGCCGGGGTGAAGGAAATGTAAAGGCGGAGGGAGGGGGGATCTGAAAGAGTTGAAGAAGGGGAGGCCGGAGGACGCAGGATCAGTGCACGCTCACACTTTGAGGGGGAAAGATGGAGGAGCAGGACAAGTGCATTAGGACATCGAGATCAAGTTAAACTCTGAGACCACCGGAGACCAGGGGAACAGGCCTACACCACCGCACATGTAAGGATGAAAGCTCTACGGCCTCCAGGCACTTCAGCATCAGCTACATGCACACACTCTTTACTCTAGATCTTATAGGCCCTAAAGGTGCAAACATTTTGTGCACTTTTGTTCTTTTTTACTTGTGCATTTTTCATTTGAACTGCCTTTTTTTAAACTTTTCTAATTCGTCTTTGGTTAAAAATCTTTCTTTGGAGTTTGTGACGTGAACAGATGGAGAGGGTCTACAGGCCTCTAGAACAGCTTTGACATTGCTATCTTGAAGCTAAAATGATTGTTCAATAGTTTATTTGCTAAAGCTGATGATTAAAGATTGGCAGGGTGCAGTGACTTTTCATGTTGTGATGCAGATGTTCAAAAGTAAATGTTAGTTGTTCAGCAAGATATTATACTGCATATTTATGCTTTATTGTATTTATCTATGCAAAGATGACATTTAGTTTTTAAACTTAACTTAAAACTTTGATGTGCAGTCATAAGTGTTGGGAAAGTGCCTAAAATGCTGCCATCCTTTGTGGCCATGCTGCTCTGCACCTCAATGGTGGGCACACAGCACATGGGGTTCCCATGAATAGGCCAGGCCTCACCAAAGACCACATCATTTGGATAAAGACGGCTCCCAGAGAAAGAGAAACCGCCTCACGGAGAGAACCAGAGAAAGAGAAAATGTTGCATACGGCAAATCAGATTAGAGCCAGTCACAGCTTTACTTTTGCATTTTCACTTTTCTTCCTGCGCAGGGCCCTCCCGCCTCCTCAGTTAAATTCACTACTGCTGCTCCTCATGTGTCTGATGATAATGCGCTCTACTGCTGTGCTGAGTTATCATCTCAGGCCTTTGTTTTCTTTGATCTGTGTGACCGTTGGGGGACCCACTTCTTCTTTTGTATCAGGTCACATCGCGGCTCCTTTTGGACAGGCCTGCCCCCGGGTGGTGACCCCTCCGTTCATCATGGTGTCACCCACACAGAGGACAAGCATGAGTTAGAGCTTTCTCCACTATTCTTCTCTCTCCTTTCTTTCTCTTTCTTTCCCGCTCCATCCTCACTTCTATTCTGACGCTCCTTCTTGTCCACAATCACTGACCTGAGCCCACAAGGGGTCAAAGGCCATTTTTAAACCCCAGAGTCAACAATGAATGGACGGATATGAAAACGCCACTTCATATGGTAAATTTCAGATGACTTCAAAAACAGAGCAACATGGAGGTCCGGAGCTGATTGTCCAAACGCAATTCTTGCGTCTGACTGAGTGAAACCAGGAGTTGTGGATGGACATCATGCCCCTGGCCTCTGTATACTCACAGAACTCACACTGAAGCTATAAGTGGCCTAAACACAATCAGGATGAAAAGAAAATTTTGTTTTGTTTTGTTTGAAGATGGGGGATAGTTTTTTCTCTTTTTTTGGACTACAAGAATCTAACAGGATACAAGATTCAAAAAGACCGAAACACTGATTTATTATAAACTTGCAAATTGGTGTTTTAATAGCTGATGCTGAAGTTGGCATTACTCATCAAACCTGATGAAGCAAATGACTGCATATAACGCATTTTTTTGATTGCAGGTGCCAACTATGGAATGGATGGATAAAGGGATTGGGTTTTCGGATGAAAAGATAAGATGCTTCAACCCTAAAAGCTCGCTTTACAGACAGGTGAAAGTGTCTGGTTTGCTCTTCAGATATAAGCAGTGTAGATTCAGAGAGCGACAGAGAGAGGGTAAATGTGCCGTGGACGAGTGAGAAAAGGGGGTTTGAAAGAGAGCCTAGGGGGTGTGGAGGCCTGTGAATTTGTCTGTGTGTGTTTCTATGTTTGACAAAGTTCAGGGGGCAGACTTGACAAAAAGAAACTGGAAAATGAGAGAAAGTAGAGGATTTGAATGAAGTGTCTAGAGACTGAGCAAGCCGGCTGGTTGAGAAAGAAGCCAGAGATCCAGCAGATTGGGGACAAGGACAAGAGAGCATTTTGGAGGGAAAAACAGTGACCACCATCAAATTTGTGTAACGAAAAAGCCCTCTACTGCACAGCACGGATGGCGTAAATTGGTGAGATTTATAGATTGAAACTGCAGGAAGCGACAACTTGGTCTGGGAAATATGTATGGAGAAAGGGAGAGAGAGGGACGGAGAGAGGGCGGGAAGGAGATCAAGAGTGAGGCTGTATTAATATGCTAATGTGTTGAGTGAATGCACAACAGGCCCACTGACCAGGCTAATCACTGGTGGACGCACACTGAGGCTAATCCTTAACACAGTCCCACTCACAAGCAGAGCAGCTAAAAATATTTGGACAGTCAATTATTGCAGGTTTTTTTGTTGTTGTTTTGTTTTGTTTGTTTTTTTACCTGATTGACATGAAACAGTGTTTTATCTCAGTTTCTAGAAAGAAATTGTTGAAAGTGTTTTTGAATTTTATGATATGAATTTGTGTCTGCATTGCTGTAAAGTGTAATCAATAAATAAAATCAACAATTCAATATTATTGCTTTGGTCTTTTTCGCACTTAATTAATAAAAAAGGAAAAATGTAACACATTGGATTTGAAATAAAAATAGGATTAAAAAAATATATTTTTTTTTTTGCTGTTGTGTTCCACTGTCTTTGGGTGGAAAAGTATTCTTCATTGTTCTTCACACAATTCTTATAGTGAATACTTTGGTTACCTATTTTTATGAAGTACTAGTAAATAACAGCTTCAGATTATAACTTACATTGGCTAAATCCGTAACATTTAGTAAAAACTATCAAATGAGAAAATATGTGCAGAATGATTATAGAATAAAAACAAACATAACTGTCCTTAAGATACTAATGTATTTGTTTTGAGGTGTGACAGGACTTGATTGAAAATGTTTGGTTATAGTGTGATAAATCTAAAGCAGGTTATTTATTTATTTATTTAATAAGACGGGGACAACGCACAATTTTTACTTTGCACTGTACCAGGTTGTTGCATCATTGCTAATTTCCACCTGTAGTCCCTGGGCAGGTTCACTGATTGATTGTATTTAATTGACCTTATCAACTGCTCTTCCTGGAGACCTATGTAGCATGTTTTGGGTTATGAACAGAAAGCATGGTCAAATGTTCAAAGATGACATGGCAAAACATAGTAAACTCATCAAATCGGTTATATCTATTATATCTGACAATACATTAAACTTGTTTGTGTGAGTTTCACCGGTTTTCTGTACTTAACTTCCGTGCGTCCAGGTCTCCTCCGGCGCGGCGGGTGCTGAGGCGCTGTGCCCGATAATAACCCCCGGTCCTGACTCACTGCACTGAACTTGTCTTGACCTCGTGACCTCTCTCACTGGTCCAGTCTCCCTCACACAGGGACATGCGAGCATAACGTGACGCCTGTGTCTCCAGAGTTCACGAAGCAAAGTGCAAAGTGATGGTTCACAGTAAATATGAATCTGTACTAAGCCATATCTTCTACCGTGATCATGTTTTCATCCATCCAGGGGAGGGAGGGCTGACTACGAAGCAAAGCGGGGGGAGAGGCAGACAGGGCCTGGTCGCCACATCCTTTTCATGCGAAGAATCGGAACTGCAGAAACGTTTGTATCTGTCTCACCAGTTATTTATGTTGCAATTATAGACTGCGTTTTGCAGAACTAGACTAAGCATGGCAAATCCCTTTTCAATAATGTGTATTTGGAGGTGCGCCCTCGACCATGCCTTTGGGTTAGCAGAGTTAGGAGGCTAACCATTGTAGCTAGAAAGCACTTTTATCTTTGCCATTCAAACACATGCTATATGATGCACAACGTGTGTCGGAAAGAGCGAATTTGGCCAATATCTTGTGTTATAGGCTCAGTGTTTTTGTTGCATGGATGTGATTGCATTTGAGTGTTGCTTTGCACGCATTGGCTAGCTAGATTTGGGCTGTTGCTAACATTAGCCTGCTTACTCGGTTTGTTTTCATCTGTCTGCAACTGATAATTCTCAGCAAATGCGTTATATCCATGTGTTATTACACATAAACAAGTATATACACGTGTATTAGACAGCGTCTCACTGGTTAATTTTCATGGACTTTTCTACAGCGCGTTTTACAATGCAGAACAGTATCGATGTGGCACTGATTGGCTCCTGCTGCATTGCCTTTTCCTTTGAAAATCAAACTTTGAATTAAATAATTGGACCATTATGAATGATTTGAAATTAACCAATATGCGAATTGTTTGTTCCGCATTACAACACACACAGAACAGCCATTGCAGACATTTACCGTAATCTAACGTGATCATCTTTTTTGTGTCGGAATTTCAGAGCCATTTTTGGTTTCCCAAAACAGCTCAGGCCCGGGCCTCAGTCCGCGGTCTAGAGTTTGACTACGGGCTGCTCCAAACGGAGGTATCTTGGTGTGAAGTTATCGTCTCGTCCCATCCACCATCATGGGAGACAGCAGAGGTGAGCAAATCTGTTTATGAACATACATGTATTGTATTTTTATCATTTATATATTTATTTATTTGAAAAATCCCTGTGCCATACTAATTATGCCTCATTTGTAAATATAATTTTTGTGTTCAGATTCCCGCAGCCCGGACAGTTCGTCTGTGTCCTCCCCTCCCTCGGGCCAGCGTTCCCCTCCCCTGGTGCCCTCAGCCGCCTCCATGACCTCTCTACCTCCCATCACCAGTGCAGGAGTCAACAGCCCCATCAGCAGCATCGGCTCCCCCTTCTCTGTTATCAGCTCCTCTCTGGGCTCCCCCTGCCTCCCTGGAACACCCTCAGTGGGCTATGGACCCATTAGCAGCCCACAGGTAAAGTCTGAATTTTATACATATGTGTATATATATAAACTTTGTCCGTGTTACAATATTCATCACGCATGTGTCTTCTTTTAACTTGTAGGGCCTTAACTACCTCTTCTTGTTGTTTTGTCCTGTTCGCAGATCAACTCCACAGTGTCCATGTCAGGGCTCCATGCAGTCAGCAGCTCAGATGATGTGAAACCTCCTTTAGGATTGAAGCAGCTGTCCGCTCACAGTCCTGGTCCAATGCTGTCCCAGAAACGCCTGTGCTCTATCTGCGGAGACAGATCCTCTGGTAAAAAATGAACAATAACATTTTTAAATTGCCTACACAAGTTTTTTCCATTATTATTAATATACTATTAACTGTGATTATCAGTGTTACAGTGTAGTAACAATGAAATGGAATGGTGATGGTAATTGAAAACTGTTGATTTAAAGGTGCACTATGTAACTTTTCTGGTAAAGGCTACCATCATCTTCTCTCCATAGAAATGGTAATGCCTTGACTGGAATGTGTCTCTGTATGGCCTTACACTCAATATTATTATATTAAAAAAATATTATTTTTCAGTTATTCATTTATAGCTGTTTGTATTGCTAATAAAAATGCACTGCACAAAATATTAATTCTCACTGTCTTTCCACAGAGTTGACCTGTAATGCCTAGTGGTGTCAGCTACTTGTCTGCATGTAGATAAATATGTTTAATGCCATACTAGTGTGTCAAACTGGAGGCCAAGCAATAACATCCCCATGCAGACAAGCAGGTGAAGGATCCTCCACCAGAAAAGCTTCATAGTGTACCTTTAAATGTGATCTATGCTTCAGAAGTTACAAACCTAAAATGTATTTTAAAGTCTGGTTTATCAATGCTAGTTAATTAATTTAGGTATGATGACTTATTAGATGGTGAATGGTTTACATTGGTCATAGTTTTAACAGTCATCGAGGTTATAACATTGGAGTGTATTTTTCATCAATTATCATAATGTTAACGTTTGACAAATCCATATTCTACATCAATGTTAAATTAATTTTTTTCCCCAGGTAAGCACTATGGAGTCTACAGCTGTGAAGGTTGTAAAGGTTTTTTCAAGCGGACGGTGCGCAAGGACTTGACCTACACTTGCCGGGACAATAAAGACTGTATGGTGGACAAAAGACAGAGGAATCGCTGCCAGTACTGTCGCTATCAGAAGTGCTTGGCCATGGGCATGAAGAGAGAAGGTAAGCATGCTAAGTCTCTGGAAATTATGAAAGTATTCAATATTTTGTCCTATCACTCATGTCATACATTCATCATTCAAACATGAATTTGTTTTTAATGGTTTTGAGGCATATCTGTTAAGGTGCTTTTACCGAAATGGCTATTTTGCTGAGTTGGGTTGAGATGTGACAAGCAAAAAAGTGTGGTTGGAAAATTATTGTGGGATAGTGGACCTTATCATCTATAAATAATCAGGCTCAAGATCTGTGGATTTTGGATATTTCCTGAAAATGCTATGCAGTTAAAAGTGCTGTACTTGATTTTTTATGTGTTAGAAATGTCAAAAACAGAACTTCAACTACAATTTAAACTGATTGCAGCGGTCTCCTAGAACACAAATTATTCACCACAATGAGTTTTTAAGCACCTTGTACAACTTCCAGAAGCCAGAGTGAAGGTTATTTTGTCACAATAATGCTAATAGCAACTAGCATGCTAATAGTGCATCAGTGCAATAAAATGTGGTCATACAGCATAAAGCGGTCTTGGTTTTACCCTAAGAGCTGCTTTTACAAATTCATCTGTACTGGAACAAAATTTTACTTCATTACTTAAAAACATAACGTACAGCCCCTTTAATGCAGGGATGCTCACTTCGGCACCTGTTGTGAGGGGAGGACATCACCACATGCTGCAAATCGAAAAGCAACATATTAATAGATACCAATTTTGAAAGCAATAGCCTAGTGGAAGAGGGGGGAATTGGGGGTGCATAAGATTTACAAACACTAACCCCCTCTCCCCCTCTCTTCCTTTTTTGTTTCCTCGATCTCTCTCCCCCTTCCCTTCTGTAGTGGCCGAGATGAACGTCAGATGTAAGAAAAAGAGGAAGGAAGGGGTGTGTCTGTGACTGTACGAATGAACAAATCACAGAGATATTGTGTCCTACATCAGCATAAAATTACATTAACAATAGTCAACAAAAGATGTATTATTATTTATATGAGGCTTTAATTTATACAGGGAAAAGCAGTTCAGAATCATGGTATCTTTTATAATAGGGGTCCTGCCAACACAATACAGGTGTACAGGTACATTTTAGATAAGATATTAGTGGAGAAAACATATGTAGGGGACATATGTTTCGGATACAGAACCTATACTTGTTTTTAGAGTGCTCAATGCACAATTGTTGTTAACAGACCATATTAGGCTGTGTTCACACTTTCACACATGCCACATGCCTCAAAACCGAGACTAAACTGGGACTAAACCCTGAACTAAACTTTGACTGGACCATGGATAAGCCAGGACCACAAAAGGAACATTGACTAGCACTCTTAAGGTTTGGCTTCAATGCCCAGATCACTCAGAACTTTGTGTGCACATCTTTGCGTTTTCTCCCTGTGTCTGGTATTTGGGTGGGTTCTCTCCGGGCACTCTGGTTTCTCCCCCATCAACCCAAAACATGTGCAATATGCACAAGTCCTCCACCTAAGTTAGTCTTGACCTGAGCTCTCCTGACAGGATGCCTCTGCAGCATTGCAGGATGGGTCAGATATAGAGAATTTCCTACAGGGGAAACTGTACCTTACCTTATATTTACATCGGGACTAAACCGGGATCAAACCAGGACTAAATAAAGACAAGTGTGAATGCAGCCATAGTATCTCCTCATCTGCACTATCCCTGTCAGTTAAACAGCAATTTAACTTAGAACAAGGGTTTAGGTACAGCCTTTGGTAGATTCTTTTAGCTTTTGCAAAAGGTAACCAGAATCATTACCTATACTTAGATACAACAGGAAGATTTAAAACAATGTGAAGTTATGTTTATAGAAATTGGGTTGTGGTGTCCTTAAACAAGGGGACAGACCTCACTGAGTGTCTTTTTTGATAGGATGTTGCAAGTTTTATCCATCAAAGTGACGATGTATGAAAGAGAATGAAAGATTAAAACATATTTTATGAATTGTAAAGTTATTGCTCTGTCCTGCTGTTTACATGAGTTGTTGCATTACTCTGCTCTAAAGTCACTGCTTAATAAATCCTTATGATAAGCTTATTCACGTTTTTATAACCATCTTCTAATTTGTCAATTTTTGCATTTTTATTTTTATCTTTTATACGGGCTTAATTCTTTCCTTTCGCATATTTTCTGTTCACCATTCTTCACACCATTTCTTGTTATTCTCTTGTGCTTATGCATATGCCCCTATGTTCTTTTCTGTGTGTGCAATGCAAATGTATTAACACAGCTGTCCAAGAGGAGAGGCAGAGGAACAAGGAGAAGGAGGGAGAGGTGGAGTCGACCAGTGCAGTGAATGAGGAGATGCCCGTGGAGAAGATTTTGGAGGCAGAGATGGCTGTAGAGCAGAAGACAGAGCTCCATGCAGACGGCAGCTCAGGAGGCAGCTCAGTGAGTAACTAGAGGAATTCAGTTAGGTTTTGTCTGCTTTATGATCTGATGTAGACTAGGGTTCTTACAATGCTAAAATGACAATCATTTACATTACAAGTCATTTTAATACTAAGGATTTTTTAACCAATTTTGATATATTATAAAAACAATAACCAACATCTCTACACTATTGCAAAGAAAATGTAGGCACGATAAATAATGAGACTCAGTATGTTCCAACTATTATTTATTGAACATCAGTACAGTAATAATTATTGTGATAAGCCTTATGACTATGATACCACACTGATAATTACAACATTTCTTTATACAATAAGAATGAATTAATCTTTTCATATATGGGAAAGGTAGACCACTGAATCTCAATTGAATTATATTTTCTTATTAGCTATCAATAAGAGCTTATCTACTTTAGCTGGAACCATTCAAAATGCAAATTTGATCAAATTGATGCTATTTTTAAGCTTTTACAAACTGTAAATTGTTTAAGGAGTATAGCTGTTTTGACATTTTGTTAATTGTTTTTATTTTGCAGCCCAATGACCCTGTTACCAACATCTGTCAGGCAGCAGATAAGCAGCTTTTCACTTTGGTGGAGTGGGCCAAGAGGATTCCCCATTTTTCTGAGCTTCCCCTGGATGACCAAGTCATTCTACTCCGTGCAGGTCAGTATTTGAGTCATCTTATTTCTAATATTTTAACATTCAAATGAATTTGATGATTGATCCACCTAACTATGATAGAGAACTTTAGATTAAGTGAAGACTCTTTATTTCAGTTTGTGTGTCCTAATCTGCACTGCTGTGTCATGTGATCATCTCTATGTCTACACAGGTTGGAATGAGCTCCTGATTGCGTCCTTCTCTCATCGCTCCATCTCAGTGAAAGATGGGATTTTACTGGCCACCGGGCTGCACGTGCACAGAAACAGTGCTCACAGTGCAGGAGTCGGAGCCATCTTTGACAGGTAAGATACAAACTCTTCCAGAGAGCTGAGGAAATACCACAATATGACTCTGAAAACTACCATATGGCTTATTGATTAAAAAATTTGTGGCCAATTGTGCTTCTGTTAAGGGTTTAATATAATTAAGAACCCTGTGAGGAGCTCTTGCTTTGCTGCTGGTTGGCTGCAGTTGCTTAGTTGACTGGGATTGGCTGAGCGATTTTGCTTCTTTGTCCATTGGACACACAGCGCATGGGAGGCTGGTGACTAATGCTTATCTATAGAGACGCATGTACATGCTCCCCCTCACACAGTCATAGACAGCACATTTTGAACTCATAACTTAGTTATAATGGCTGGCTATTACAATACTAACTAATAATACTTTAGTATAATGGAGTAAATACTGCAATAAATATACGTACAAATTAGAATTCATGCTATAACTTGGCATTGGGATCTTTACTGTGCCTTTGTCATAGTCATTGCATTGTTGTGTTCTGTCTCAAGTAAAAACATACCAATGCATCCCACCTTTCTGATGCCTAATATAGTGGCAGTGTTTAGTTTTGCTCTTAACACAAAATCACATCCACAAAATGTAAAAGCTAAAAATAGTTTATCACTAAGTGGATGTTTTACTATGAACCACTATTTTATTAGGAAGCACTACAACATGTCTTCTTTTAAACACTGAATAAAATGTTAATCATACAGGAACTATACACGTTCAGATAATTTGCTTGTTAATTCCATTATGCTGCTTTATCATGCTGAGACTTACATTTCTCAATTTCACACAATTTCACTCAAGGTCAGCTGCTTTTTGTGCTGTATATAAGTGTAGGCTTTACAAAATAAGGGAGGAACATGCTTTTTTCCTGTTGAAACAGGAAAATCCAATCAACTGGGTCATTGGCGATTTTTCTAAAATATAAAATTTTCTAAAATCATTCAAATGAATAGCATCACATGTTGAGCTTTAAGTAAAACTAGTCAACAGGGAAAACTGTGAGTGGAACAATGTATTTTATATTATCTTAAGTTTAGTCTCATCAGTGCTATGGAATATTTGGAGGATAATGTAGATTGTAGTGACCTTATCTGTATGAAGGTAGCCTAAATAGCACATCACAGTTGTTTTATTGTGACTTACTTTCTTTAAAAATATATATATATTGTTATGTTCCAAATTCCAAGTTCAGTAAATGGAAATGGTAGCAGACAGTCAGTCACTGACTGAAAGGTCCAAGGTTTAGAGCCTGCCCACAGCTTACTCTGATAGGTCATATCTGACTGTCATTTATGAATTATTCTAATTTTAGATTAGTTTATCCGTTTGCAATTGTGTTACATTATAGGATAGAATCAAATGCATTTTTTCCAGTCAAATATGTATGTCCTATACTGTTTTGCTCTATTTTTGTCATATACAGTAAAACCATTGCATCTCATGTATTACATAAAAAGTTCACAGTTTTGCACTCTTTTTTCTGGTTCATAAACCAGACTTCAATAACGTGACTGTGTAATGACATTGTAATAACACACTGTGATTGAATACACAGGCCGCACAATGCTGAGGTTGGGGCCATATTTGAAAGGTAATTATTTCACTACACAAACACTGATTTATTTGACCCCTTCCTCTTTTGGCTAAGCTTCCTCTTAGCCAAAACTATCAACAGAATTCAACGCTTCATATATAGTTTAGTAGCAGCTGGCAAAAAATATACCAAATGGACAGATTCTTACAAATTATTGTAATTTAAAATGTTCATAAAATTATGCACTTATGCTGAGTTTTAGTAATAAATAAGCAACATATACAGTTAAACAGGGTGCTAAATAGTGAATCTTATTTATAAAGCTCTGACAATAAGTTGAAACAGAGAGTAAGTAATAAAAATTACAATTGCACCATATATTAGGCTTTTGCATTACATCTCACCAGCTTCTCCTTCTGCATGTGTGTCGATACATGGGCATTTTGTCATGTACAATTTAAATCCATCTTTAAATGATGTTTTTATCAATATTCTGTATTTGTGTTCATTCTGAATTTGTGGCTGTGCTCTGTATAGACTGCTGTTGTGTGCCCAGAAGCTTACAGTGTCTGTCTACTACTATAGAAAATTAATGCCATTTCCACAGACCAAAATTCAGTAGTGATTTGGATTGACAGACAGTTTTGAAGTATTTTTTAAGCCTTGCTTTTGGCCAAATAAGACAATATTAGTTCTTAGTTTGTTGTTTATTTCAGTATGAATAATTCAATATTGATGCCTTTATTGATATTTTGTTACTTCAGTGGTGATATGTGAATCTTAAACCTGCAATGGTCCTACCCAAAGAGTTTATTGAGATTTGTTTTAACATTGGAATGTGGCATTGATGTGCATATGTCCATCTAAAATGCTCTGGTTTGTTTTATAATCAAATTTTAACTTGACATTCTTCACTGTTTCATATTTGCCAGAGTTTTGACTGAGCTCGTGAGTAAGATGAGAGACATGCAAATGGACAAGACGGAACTGGGTTGCCTTCGAGCCATTATACTTTTCAATCCGGGTACCCTTTTTGAATAAAATAGAATTACTATATTTAATTTTTAGAGGACGTCAAATTAACAGAGCATGAGGAAGCATTCAGAATTTGTGATGAAATTGCAATTTTTTTTTTAAAGATGCCAAGGGTTTGTCAAATCCGAGTGAGGTGGAGCTACTAAGAGAGCGGGTGTACGCATCTCTAGAGGCTTACTGCAAACATAAGTATCCTGACCAGCAGGGCAGGTATGGTTCATCACAACAAAATCTGACTGAGGGATTGAGGGATTACACAGACATCCTTTTGAGTGAAACAAATGCATTGTTATTTTTATTTTACTAATTAGGCCTGTCATAAATTTTGATGCACAATAAATTGCTGAAAGTAGTTTATGTCACTGACACAATACAAATAAAGCAGGATAATCCGAGTAAACAATTTTTAAATAGACTATCATTAAATGGTAAAAACTGCAACAAATAAATGGCAGAATGAACCAATAATTAGTGACTAAGTGACTTCTTCAGCTCTCTGCAGCTCAAATCTTATGGGATTACAGCAAAAATAACTAAAATGTCTCCATGGAAATGTAGGCACAATAAAAATTGAGCTCCAAAATATATTGTTCTAGGTATAATTATTGAATGATAAGTTGATATATAGTAATTATCATGACAGGCCTAATACTAAACTACTATGAACTAAAGAAATTTTTATTTAAAATGTAACTGAAGCTTTTAGGAATGATGTTGCACAGTTTTTCATACATTTTCGTGCTGTCTCACCCAGGTTTGCAAAGCTGCTCCTCCGGCTTCCAGCACTACGCTCCATCGGCCTGAAGTGCCTGGAGCATTTGTTCTTCTTCAAACTCATTGGGGACACGCCTATTGACACTTTCCTGATGGAGATGCTGGAGGCCCCTCACCAGCTCACCTAGAGGTCCCAGGTTTGGTCCAGTCGTCCGGATTTGATTCAGACCAGGATTCAGACCAGCATCCATCACATAGTGTTGGCTGCTAGCTGCCTCTGTAGGGCTTTTACTTTGAAACCACACAAAACACAACTCTCACTGGACAAATATTCAGACACACGCACTAATAACAGCAGGTCCACACTTCACTAAACTGATAGAGTAACACAAATGTACACTTAGTAACTCAAACTAATACCCCCTCACTCCCTCGGTGTAGTCTTCAGGATAAATCTTTCATCTTCAGAAATGTCTTAATTTTCAACCTACACGTTCTAGTCCACTGTGGGATTTGCATCTGCATAGCTAATATACTTACCCTTTTTTACATGGATCGGTTACAGTGATACATGCACCTTTTTATAGTATGCCCCTAGTTATTTAATTAAAATAATTTATATTGCATTTCAATAAATTTTTCACCATAAAACTGGCACAGAAAACTGCATATTCAGTGGTGTGTCCTGTAATGTCAAACAAACACACCTCAGTGAATTCATTCAATTTGGTATTTTAATATTTTGTGCATTTTAAATATGATATTGAAACTTGTCTGAGTTTCTATTTTGAAGTACTGTACTCATGAAATGAGAGCTTTTTTCAAGGCATTGATATCCAGGAACAGTGGGCTGGGAACACAATCTTGAATAGACTGGTTGCGTCCCTCCCACCCTGATGCGCACAGCGGCTTTGTAAGGCAAGAAGAATGACTTGAATCATTTTGTTTTATTTTTTATTTGTTATTGATCCTCTTCCTTCTTTGGCATTTTAAACCATGTGAGGCTGACAAGAAGTACACCTCATGCCCATATAATCCCTGCTCCTCTAAATTTCCCCTTTGCTGGTGGTCATTATGCACTTTTGTGAATTGTATCTGTGTAAATGTTCCTGTTTCCCAACAAATGACCCTCTTTATAACTTTGATGGTAATATGTGTAGGGCCTTCTAATGGATGCATCCTAGGATTTTACAGTGGCCACAATTTTTAACAGAAAACCAATCTTCTTATTCTTTCAAAGATGTAGCCTTCCAAAAATGACAACCTTAAGAAAAGATTGCACATTTAATATAACTTGGTCAGCAATAAAAAATAAATACATTTTAATGTAGTAAGTGTGGCTTAAAAGCAATGAATGCTACTAATTGAAAATCCTACACGTATTACCTACAACATATATTCCCTCTGTACTGTTTCAGTGCTCGCAATGTACAGTCATTGTAAATAATTACAAAATCACCAGAATCATGTGAAAACAAAGGTCTGTCCACAATCACATTGTTATAAAAGAAACTGATGGGTCAAACCACAAATTTAAACAGTTTTTACTGAACTCCCATGTGACTGAGCCCAGGGCCAAACCACGTCTCATTGCTACATTTGCACCAACACAGGTCAATTTTCCCTTTTGGTAGGTTTGTTTTTTTAACTGCTCAGCTAGACATGTTTTGACGATAGCACTTAAAATTTACTGAAAAATAGCATGAAGATTGTGTGATATCCATTCTAAAGTTGTGTGATAGTCATTCTACAGTTGGATATCAACATTTCAGATTTTGTCCAGTTAAGTATTTACTATAAACCATGTCCAAACAGGTACTCTGGTGGAGTGCCACCTGCTTGTCTTTGTGGAGATAAAATTGCTTGGTCTGGATTGTGCCACTTTTTGGCAGTAAACTTATCTATTCTGCATTTATTCATTTATAGGTGTTTAATTGGTCACCTTCACCTAGTGGTGTCACTTGTTTGTCTCCATGGAGAGAGATATGATTAATGCCATATTGTGGAACATTCCAGGCAAGGCAATAACATCTCTCCATGGTGACATGCAGGTGGCTGACATGGCAAGGTTGCTGACATCCTTCACCAGAGGAATTACATAGAGATAGAAATTGTGTTTAATTTCTGTACATTCAAACAGGTACACGTCTTTTAAACGTGTAGGTATCGTAGTTTATTTCAGCCCCATTGGTAGTTCCAACATTGAATAAGAGTGTTGCACATCTTTTACATAGTCATTCTACAATTGAGAGGTACATATGTCTCTCTTTCAGGTGCTAAAGCAAAAGTGCACATTTACATCAATGCAAAAACAATATGCAACTCTTCAGACAAATCATCAGTCATTTTACCTTTTCTCAAAATGTAGATTTCATTGAGTATGTGTGGTTTTGATCCCTGTCTCTCCTATGTACTTTCCTAACACCAGCGAAGTGCTTGTGTATTATTTAAATCTTTTATTCTTCCAGATTTTAATATTTTGTATTGGGGAAAAAGGCAATTGGCAGATTAAAGATTTTTGATAAGACGATGAGCTTCCTACAGAATAGTCAAATAGATTATTTGATGAGATATTAATTAAGAATGATGCCATCAAACTAAAGATATGTTATTTAGTTGAGACCCAGATTGTGAAAATATTTTCCAAATTAACAAAATCACATTATTTAAAGTTTTTGACATTTGATACTTGAGTACTGGAACACTCAGCTGGATTTCACAGTCTTATAACAGGATTAAGCTGTTTTACACACTTGCAGTCATAGGGTTGGCACTTGCTTGTTTGCTTTGATAGCTACAGCCATTTGGGATTTTTAAAGGTGCACTACGTACATTTTCTGGTGGAGAATCTGCCACTCTGCTTGTCTCCATGGAGCGATTATTGCTTTGCTTTGAATGTTACACAATATGGTATTAAACTCAATTACAGGCATTTGTGTTGCTAATGAAAATACATAAAAACATGCATTCTTGCTGTGAGCAGGCTTGCCAATGATGGAGTCAGGTGGCAGACCCTCCTCAAGAAAAGTTATGTAGAGCACCTTTAAAGACGTTTGGCAAGTCAACATGCTGCCTGATGAGCTCAGAATAGTAGTTTGATTGCATGCTTTTGTGAAGAACATAACCCGATTTGTTGACTGCTCAGAATCTCTGTTGCCAGTTTTAGAGCTTCTTCTGTTGTTTTAATGGGACTGGTGCATTATCTTTAATGTGGGAGGGCAATTAAAACAGGCCTAGAAGCAACTACCAAATCTCATGGTATGCACAGAATTTTCTAAGTGTATTATTTGCCAGTCGAACTGTAAACTTACCCCTTCACTGTTGCTTCCAGGTTTTGCTAAGCCTCTCTTGTATTTATTTAGCATTTGCTCAGAGCTCGGCCCGTGTCAGTAAAAGGTACAGAAGCAGAAAAGTTACACAGTTGTTTGAGGTTTTGTACACCACTTTAGTGAGTGGATGATTAGAAAGGGCTCATGGTATTTTATTGTAGTTTGTGTAGTGCGTAGTCTGTCTATAGCTGCTCTTTACTGTGGCTGTGATTGGCAAAAGGTTTGGCCGTTCTGTTCTGATCGGTAGAATTTCTTAAATCCAGAACGAATGCACAGAGGAATAAGAGCCAGCCTATAGTGGAGTTTGTATTTTGGATGTTATCTGCAGCCTACTATCTACTTAGGCGCAATCTCAGCAGCTTTACCCTCACTTTAACTTTTTGGCTTATTGACCTGGCTGAGAGGAAATTAACACAAAGAATAAGCCTATAACTCTTGTACTGTTTGAATCAAGGGACATTGTCTCTTATGGCTTCACTTGAAGGCCGAGCCCAACATTTTGGTTGCCGGTGGCGACAGTTGGATTGCTCATTGATGCCTCAAAATGTTTGTTGTTGCGATTGTGTGCACTCAAGGCAGACACATGCTGTGACCTTCGACTGCGGAGCAGTATGCCGTTAGCCTCTTTGTTACATTTTGAATATTCTTGTTTTTGAGCGTTTAGATTAAACAAATGCTATTTTATAAAGGATCGCAGCCTGTGAATAATTGCTCACCTTAAATGTTACAAAATCACCTGGTTCTCTGCTGAACATTCAAAGGCCTCAAAAACATTATCTCCACTGGTTTATTCATCACTGCCAAAATGTTTATTCAAATGGCCTTTTCAAGCAGCCACTGAAACTCCAGTACTTTGGCACGTGTGTTATTATTGTACTGCACATCATTTCTGAGTGTGCAGTGCATAGGCTGTATGGTGCAGTGGTGAAAAGGTGCCCTAACATGATCGGACTAACAGACGATTGAAGGCTGGGTGTAGGATGACCCCCTGTGTGACCCCTCAGTCAAGACGCTGTGCAGTTATGGTCTTTATGGGTCTAAAAATCTTGATAATCGTTCTATTAGAAACACAGAGAAGGCGCCATGGAGAAGGTCTGGAGGTGGATCTGGCTAAGTGCTTTAATTTGGTGTTTGCTGTTGACTGGGTGGGTTCAGTGACAGCTCTGCAGCACAGTGTCCTTTGGTGACCCCTGTTGGACAGTGGAGTGATTCAAAATAAAGAGTGCCACCATCTGTTAAAGACTGGTCTTTTTAAGGATGAGACTGATGCTGAAGTTGGAGGTTTTTTAGAAACTGTAAAAAAACTGGTTGGGTTTTACTCTGATTAGTTTAAGGAGAAAAATGAAAAAGTAGATCGTGATTCTTCCTTAAATGTTTACTTTGCGGTAAATAAATTCACACTGTTTTCTATGTGTCTTGTTTCCTGTCTACTCCGACTATTCTATTTATCTTTTGTTTATTACAAAGTATTAAACAAATACAAAGCTGTAAAATCAGAATTGACTCTTGTCTCTTGTCTCTGTTGTCTTTTTGTTCCTGTCTGTCCTTTGTCCTATTTGTATTCTCCATAAAACACATGGAGCTGATTGTTTTCTGCTCTGGGGGATTGAGAGAAGAAAATTATCAATCATTTTTCAGTCATTAAATCTAAATCTTGCCTCTGTTTGTTGTATTATGTCTGAGTAAAGGTTTTAATACTGTACACCAGTCGTTTTCTTGTTTATTTTACCACTATGCACCCAGATAGCACCCTCTTCAATCCTCAGTCAAAATATTAAATACAGGGTTGTACTAATTAATTCATTAACCTAGAAAAACACTGACATAGACTAAATGAGATAAGTGTAGTGTAAAATGATAAATACACAGTTTTCTAATTGCTTTCATTATTGTCTTAAATTATATTTTGTTGTCGTCACAGAGAATAAGTAATTCCCATCTCTCAACTAATACTAAAGCCTGTCATAATTAATGTGCAATTTTAAGATACATTTTAAATCCAGACTCATTATATTTAAAGAACATATTATAATTATGCACTAACACGGACAGAAAACAGATTTTTACTCATTACAAAAATATATTCCTTTTATGTCAAGAATCTATTTTGGGGTATTGAATTTCACCCACGCACAGTTTGTGAAATTGTCCCACCTCGTATGTCCATGTGTCCTGGTGGTTTGATCCTCAGTCCAGCAGGACCCCAGGGCCCTGACCGACCCGTGAGGCTGCAGTTCTACATCTCCACCTCTAGAGGGCGCACGTACATCTTGGACTCGCACCTTTCCATGCCAGTCACATGATCCTGTGCCACATCGTGTAAGTGGAACAAACTCCAAATCAAACAGCCGAAAACTAACATTACTGACTGATTTAAGGTACAAGGAAAATATTCTAAGTGTAATTAGTGTACTCAGTGAGAGCAACCATGTTCTCAAAGCAGTTAGTTTGCTTACACACCTGCGTTCACCTGCAAAGAAAGAGTAGCTTGAACTGAACTTTATCTGATTTCATGCCGTCTATTGTTGTAGTAACCTGTATTTGCTAAACTGTTTAATTATCTTTTGCTGTAATCGATGGTACTAACTTAAGTAATGCATTTCACTGATTTAATTTCACTGACAGATCCAGCTTTATCGAGAGCGTCCAAGTCTGCAGTGAAGTTCAGTACCAGCAGTCACCGACAGAGGATGCAGGTACAATGAGCTCTCTGTTCCAGGGTCTTTTGAGCCATGTCAGCAGCATCTTATTTAGAGAAGACCTTATAACCTCTCATCCAGGAGAGATAGAAGTGGGATTTGCACATTCAGTTAGCAAATAGGTCATAATATGTGATACATTCTGCTTATTTCTATTGAGGAAGTGCATTAAATTACTTGTGTTTTTGTTATGATGAACCAAATCAGGCACAATAGACATAAAAATTATAGTAAAATATAAACTGTCAAAATAATAGGTAAGCATAAAATAATGTGCTTAGCCTAGAACATAAAAATGCATTGCGATTAGGCTAATATTCCCTCCGATTTTACTTTCCATCCTATACTAAATAAACTAAAAGTTCCTCTCTGTATTTCTTTCTCCTCAGTGCCACCACCTAGTATCCATCCCTTACCAAACCAATTGGAGAACACACTGAGACAATATGGTGAAACCTGGAACCAAATGTAAATCTTAAGAAAAGTCAAATTTAATGGCAAAAAAATTTATACAATTCAATTAATTTTATGTTTAATTTTACTTTCCATCTTAGTTTAGTTTTTGTGTTCCCGTATCTGTCTCCATCTTCTCTTCAGTCCCACCTCCCCCTTGGTCTGTCCGGGTGAGCTGTGCAGAAAGACATCTTTATACCTGGGGTCAAATTCCTCCTAATTTCTGCTTCACAAACGTCAATTTGCACTGGCTGAATGTTATTGCTCTGAGGTACATAAACGATAGCCTGTTTGAAGTCCCTTTTCCCAGCAGTGATATGGGTTCCTGTGAGGCAGAAGTACCCCACACACTGAGTTAAGACAGGCTGCTATTGAACTTGTGCAGACAGGGAAAGGGCAGATAGAGGCAACCCTATCCAGGGCTTGCAGAATGATTCAAAATTAGCACCATTGCTATAGCTATTATCAATTCGAAACTAAATATGTTACCTTCTGTATGGTGAAAAGTACTCAAAATGGCACCTGACAACAGGAGGCTGTGTCAGGTGCAGTGCTGCACCCAGGGATGCTGTGATCTCAAATTTAAGACTTGCAATCAAAGTGAACAAGCTGACTTTGCAATTAAAACAATTGTTGACAGTAGCAAAAGTCAGTCACATTGTCTAAACATACTGTTTATATTTTTGCAGCCAACCTTTTCATATTTAAATTACATAAAACTCAGATATTGCTTTTTAAATTACAGTAAATTCTAGTCATACTGTGTAAAATGACATATAAATAACTGTTGCATTGATTTAAACTACCATTGCTTTTTAAAATATATTGAATGGTAAAAATCCAAGTGACAATTCCCTAACCCCAAACATAGAAAACTACAGTAGTAGAGAGGGGATCAGGTGTAACATATTCTGTCACATTCTAATCTATGCATGCTACAAGATTATTTGACTAAATGAAAGACTTGACTTTTCATTTTCACGTTTTCAGCAAAATTACTTGTAGACATAAAAGCAAATTTCCCTTTAATTATTCCTAATCCATTTCAAAATAAGAAATGGAATGACTTGCAACATTTATAAAGCCAAATTACTGGCCAGTCTCTGTCCTCATGTTCTTTCAGCCATAATAACATGGTAGGTTTTGGGTATATACAGGCCATTTTCGAGCCAGGGTACACTTAGATTATTGCCAGTCTCTTCTAAATGTGGGTTCACTGAAAAAAGAACATGCAATTGTACATTTGGCTGCAAGTAGCCATCACATATTCATCCAGTACGGAGTCCAGCTTGGCCAGAACCATCTGTTTATTCTGATTTGTGATAATTTGTTTGATTTTAGTTTCCCCACCTGCTTGTCTCAGTGGTGATTATATTACCATGCATGGAATGTTTCAGAGTGTGGCAAAATTATTTATCTACATAAAGACATGTCTAACTGACCTGGCTAAGTTCAGGTCATTTAACCTGTAAAGTAGCCATTTTGATCACAGTAAGAATGCAAATATTTTAGCAATGAATACACCAGTAATTTAATAAATGATATAGATGTTAAATGCCATACTTTGGAACATTTCAAGCAAAACAATAACATATGAACTAAAGGCTGGACTGATTAATTTAGTTTTAAATGCTCCCATTGCGTGTCTTGTACTTTCGTTAATTAATCACTTCTGTGTGTGTGTGTGCCAAGGGGAGACCTAGAAAGTGTCTTGAGGGGAAATGAGCAAAGGGAGGGCCCAGAGCAGATGGAGGAAAAAGGCGTGGAGTATTTTGATTCTGGAGCATCATGATTTATCAGCGTCTCTGTGTCACGTGTGGGTTTTGATCATGTACAAAATCAGATAGGAAGCAGTTTGAACCAAAGCACACAGCTAAAGGCTTTGATGATTCAGAGAAAATGAAATGGTTTACTTTTGCTGACCTAATTAACTCTTGTTGTAGACACAATCACGTGGCACAGATCTGCACAGACAAGCCAGTGATGTAAAATATGTTCTTTATTTGTCACTTTTACTGTGGAAATTTGAGTTGAATTAGTCTAGGTGCAATAATAGATTTTAGGTTAACTTTTTCTGCCCAATGATTCTCTGCATGCTCTCCACTTTCACTGTTCTTTCAAAGCCACAAAGTTGGAAGATTTGCCAATTTTGTTCATACTTTGGGTTGACATATGTAACATAAGAAAGCCAAGTTTGTCCATCAATTGACTTACAATCTATTCTGTAATAATTTGTTTTAAAAATTGCCCATTACATCATCTTATATTAAGGTAAAAGACAATTTTTCCTGTTCCATCTTTCAACTTGTGCTACCTGTCATGGGACCTATCTCCAGTGTTTTAACCGTTTTCTGTACAGACACTTGATAATTTGGCATAGATTTGGACAACAATTCAAAATCTAATGTAACTCTATCAATTTATAATAACTACCTAAGTTTCCCTTGTGAATCATATATGTCTTTCTTTGTCAGGTTTTAACTTTCTGTTATATGTGACATTTTGAAGCCTTTTCTTAAAGGTTATTTGTCATGGCAACCATCCTAATTTGTCATCATTGTGAAATCCGTACATAACTTGAGATCGACCCAAAAATATTACCAGATTGTCTCGCTTTATTCTTATGTATCAATAGTCCTTTTAGTCACATGTCCAGCTCTGTCCTCCCTTGCCATGTTCCTAATAACTCAGGTTTCTCTCTACTGTACAGAGCGCGAGGGCCCAGGTCTCCGCAGCTTCCTGTCTCACAAAAGACCCCTCTGTTTCCACCTTATGTTTCTTCCTCCGAACCCACCCTACCCCCTTCCTCAACACCCCAGTGGTACATTCCCTCCCTCTCCCCTGGTGCATTCCATTTTGACCTCGGGCGGCTCAGGAGTCCCTCTGTCACTGGGCACAGCAGCAGAGGAGCATGTTCATTTTTTGCAACTTACTGCAGACTATGTAAAATTTAGGGGTGCTTTGATTATTAGTTTAGATGTGGTTTCTAAATATAGCCAAAATATAACAAAAATCATCATGTCTTTCCTCATATTGTTCAGTCATAAATTTTTATTACATTTTATTTTTTATAAACAAATACAAATGGCTTTCAGTATGATTTTTTTATTTATTTAAACAAGACAGAATTGCAGTTACACATGGTATTGTAGACCTCTCAATTAAAAAGACTCATGTATATAATGGATGCTTAGTTAGAAGTCACAGTCTTGATTACAATTTGATTGGTTGCCCACGAGTGTAATTACATAGTAACTTAGCTGTTTTTTAGCCAGTTGCCTTCATAGTCTTTCTAGCCGCATGTTATGAATTGGTTAGGCTATAGTAAGTGTCTTGCCCAGTGGCACAAGTAATGTTTTATTTCCGTCTTCTAAGATCAAAGCACACATTGTTTTAATCTCACTCTTGGACTTACTATCTATCCAGTTACAATATAATTCGAAAAGGAACCAAAAGAAATTTAGTTTGGCCCCTGATTAGAAATGTGTCTACAGTTAGATTAGTTAGATGACAGGTTTTTTTGCATCCCCATCTTCAGGAGTAAAATTAC